AGGTCACAAGGAGCAGTAGAAACCCAGACATCCGTTACATTAACAGTTTCTCAGGGGCTTGAGTAGCGTGGAATAGGATCACACTTAGAAACTTAGATGCCAATGTGGGGATCTAGCCATCAGTCACTAAGATCATACCTCAGGACCAAATTTTCAGAAGCCCTTTCAAAAATCTGCCAGCAGTTTTTATAAGCTTATCTTTTCTCAATCTCATAAACTCACACTTACACATGTAAAAGAACCATGTAATATACATGTAATCAGACTAATATTTCTGAGCAAATAGGGAAATACTCCTTCCCATTTTTAATGGGCAGTTGAAAATTTGGCACTTGGTGGATTAAATATCTATTCTGGGACCTTTTCTACATTGAGGGGAAAAAATAAGTGCTTTAGTCTTTCATCAGGCAAAACTGAATAGTATATAAACTATAGTAAATGTTAAATTTGTTCCTCGTGGTCATTTTAAAACTGAGATTCAGTTTCACTAAATCATGATTAATTCTTTAATAGAGTTAAAACTATGTTTATTGTCAAATTCTTGAGATGTGTTATATGATCTGAACTGACCAGAGAGGTGATAAATTGAACTTCAAGTGCTCAAAAACCATGAACAAGGGCTAAAAAGTTAGAAGATCCTCTTGAAAATTGTGAGTTCTTTTTTTAAAAAAAAGAATGTACTTCGGGTTCTTTTTCTTTTGGTTTTTGAGCATCTGGAGTGCACTTGTGTTACATTTTCAAACCTTTTCTCTACAACCTAGAGATCTAGAATTGTTTCATAAGTGAAAGCAATCCCTTGACACTGAGGGTATCTTTACATGTGTCTTGGGAGTGAGGGGGGTTGCTTTAATTAGAGCAGCTCTCAGGAGCTGCTCTAATTAAAGCGCCCTCAGCATCTTGTGCATTTACGAGCTTTATTTCAACAAGCTTTACTTAAAGTGCTCCCACCACCATTTTGAAGCATAGGGATGCTGAATACATGAGACGCTGAGGCTGCTGGAGTGTGTGTCCTGCACATCTGCAGGCACCCCAAGAGTTTGGGCTTTGTGGAAAATACCAAATAGCACAAATATCACAGTGAAATCATAAGAACTGTCAGTATTTTAAAAGTAAAATATATAACAGGAGTAAGGCTGCTATTTAGTGTAATGCACAATACAGTTTCGTGGGCATTCGGGGTAGCATGGTGCACTATAATTTAGGGATGCATGGATAATACAAATGAAAAATGATAGTAAGGCCCAGCAGTCCTGCAGTGATTTCAATACTGGCAGATGATTGTGCATACATGAAACTTTATTGACTTCCTTGGGTCTCAATGCAAGTGTAGTGGTCCATTTTCACAGAAGTCATTGCAAGAGATGGGCTGATGGCTTCAAACACTAATGTGTGTGTATCACTATGTACATGTGACCAAATGTGCTGGATTGGGGCAGCCTGTTTTTTTAAAAATGAGAAATTTAGGCCTAATTTGGTGTGATACCAAAAATGTAAACAGTTTGGAATAGGATATAGATGAAACCATGAAGATAATTGAGCCAAACCACACTTTATTTTGCAGCTCTCCCAAACCACTGTTGTTTTCATTGGGTTGGAGTGTTATTATAGTTGTACTAGGCCAGGAGAGAAGCTACAGGCAATGTTCCCTCTAAGGTGCATGTGTGCGCAGCTGCGCACAACTAAAAGTCTGGCCACGCACAGCCTTTTCAAGGTCGCACACCAGGAGAGAAGCTGAAAGTAAGCTCCTAGGCGAGGTTGGGGCAGGAGCCTGGGATCAGCTCTGCCAGCTCCGGCGAAGTCTCTGCTAACTGGACCTGATGCAGGGGAGCAGAGCACTTCCCTGGAACCAGCAGAGCCTGTGCCGGCCCCTGGCCCCCAGCCTCCAGCCCCCAGCTCCATCCTCTCGGCTCCAGCCTCTGGCCCCCAGCCTCTCGGCCCCAGCCTCTCGGCTCCAGCCTCTGGCCCCCAGACCCCAGCCCTCAGCCCGCTTCGGTAAGTGTCCCATGCCGGACTGAGGTAGCGCGCTCATGGACTGAGGTGGTCAGTCCATGCTCATGGACCACTACTCCTTAGAGGGAACCTTGGCTACGGGTTTTTTTATTATATATTTATTGGACTACTTGGGAGATGGTTTAGTTGCTGGAGGCAGGACTGTAGGGAAAATCTCATTGTTCTTTTCCTAATGTATGTAGAACCAAAATGTTTAGCAACTTTGTTAGAACTTGGCTTTAGGGAAAATCCTTGGCTGGACCAAGGAGGTTTGGAAAAGACTTGAAATTTATATAAGCTTTAAAACCTGAGATTCTTGCTCATTCATCAGTATTGATAAAGTATAATTCCTTCCTCCATTTCAGTTGTAAATGTGCTATTAACTTAAGTACAAACTTTGCTCTCTCTGCCTTTCCTGTACTTGGTTAATATTTAACTTGCTGTTCCTTAGCCTTTTCTTTTCCTAGGTCTGACTGAAATTGTCACATGTAAGCTATTTTGAACAGAAAAGTATGGGATTACCTGAGTGAAATTCTTGCAATTTATCAAATCATATGCATTTCAGACATAAAAATGGTGTCTTTCAGAAAGCAGACCAAAATACTTGTTCTGCACGAAAATCCAGCATCCCCTGAGCTGCTCCCCTGGCTGCAAGATCAAAACTAACGCATACCAGCAACCGCTTTGCTGGTATTTCCTATTTAAAATAATGTGGTACATAGGCATATTTAAATATAACTTTATAGCAGCGATGTAGTTATTGCTATGAAAGAGCTGCAGTGATACACTCAGAATTACTGCAACACTATGATACCTATCTTGACATAGCTGTGTAATGTTTAAATTCCTTCTGTGAAGATTTAATAAAAATATATTTGTAGATCTTTCTTTTCTCACCCCACCCAGCTGCTTTCTCTCGTACACAACTCTTTTTTATGCTTTTTTTTTTTTTTCTGTAAATGATTAATTTTAAACATGATAACAACTATTAGAGGATTCACTTCTAAAGAAAGAACATTTTAGTTATGATTTAGGGTCTGATCCTTAGCCACTTGCTCAAGCAGTACTTCCATTGATATCAATGATATTTTTGCCTGTGTAGATATTTCAGGGTTGGTCTTATCATTTAAGGATCTTTAGCAAACATAATAACTAGGGATGTGCAAAGTGGGCAGTGTTTAATTTGGATTCGGCCCAGTTCAGGAGACAGTGATTCGATTTGCTGATTTGGATCACAGTCCTGATTCGATTCAGCTGAATCTGAATCAGACGATTCGATTCTGATTCAGAGAATCAGTGATTCAGCCATATATATGGTTTATGTTTTTTCTACGTACCTTGAGGTACCAGGCGCAGCTTGCGAATGCTGAGATGGGGGGGCGGATGAAGCGTCTCACAGGAGTGTGGGGAGGCCCCCCCATGCACCCCCTCCAGACCCAGGAGGCAACAGTTACCGAGCCAAGGGATCCCCCACGTGCTCTTTGGCAAACCCAGAAGTGCTTCTGGTCCACTTCCAGGTTCGCTGCTGAGTACATGGGGGACCCCCCCCCACACTGCCATGGGACACTCCATCTGCCTCAGCATCGCAGCGTTCACGAGCCGCACCTGGTACCTCAAGGTACGTAGAAAAAACATAAACCATATATATGGCCAAATCACTGATTCTCCGAATCAGAATCGAATCTTCTGATTCAGATTCAGCCGAATCGAATCAGGACCATGATCCAAATCAGCAAATCGAATCACTGTCCCCCGAATTGGTCCAAACCCAAATCAAACACTGCCCACTTTGCACACCTCGAGGTATGTAGAAAAAACATTTAAAGCTGTGTCTATGTCCGAATCATCAAATCTCTCTGAATTGAATCAGAGGCTTCGTAGAGATTAATGGGTCTCCTGATTTGATTTGGATTTGGAGATTTGGCTGCCAATATGGCCAAACTTCCTCCGAATCAAATCAGCATCTGAGGCTTCACACACAGCCCTACTAATTACAGGGGACATTGAGCAGTGTGTTTGGAATCCCTAAAACACTGTGAGGGATTTATAATGCCAAATACAGTGTTTTCTCAGTGCTTTTTTTTAGTGAATTTCCTGGTTCTGGAGAGCTAATTAGTATACATTCTTGAGAGCGATGTCATACTATTTCTTGTAAAAGATTCACATTAAACTGACCTTTTAAAAGCAAACAAGAAAAGGAATCTGTACTTGGGATTCTGCTATCCATTATATGACAAAACATGAAGCTAATTTTCATACATTCTTTTGGGATTTGGAAGACATATGCTATTACCTCAAAAGAACTTAGTTTTACCACATTTTAATTAAGTATTTTTGGTTACCAGTTAGCCAAATAATATTATAAACACATTCACTCAAATTCTTTTTTGTGTGCTCCATTGTAAATCTGAAATAAAACTGTTGGATACAATGCAAATCTTTTGGATTTACCTCAGCAACACTGAAAGCAAAATTTGGTGAAATTGTAAGTGACCTAACACACTAAATCTCATTTTTGCATGTAAGATCCTACCAAACTCTGTTTATTTTAGACTACTTTATTTCTGAAGTAGAAATAGTGATACCAGATTTGCAGACTAAACTGAAAAAGTCATAAAAGGAGTGCAGGAAGACTAGAAAGGTGACATAAATGGGATAGAAGTATTTAGAGCGTAGTTCTCATAGATTATTTACTTTTAACATTTTATAACAGGTTCTTCTATGTGATATCTGTTATTGATGGCACCAAAATAGTAATTGCTTAGGAATTAATCCAGTAACAGATTTTTAACTTGTTTTCATTCATGTGGACTAAAGATGTCCTTGAATTCACAGTTGAAGTCAGTGGAAGTCTGGACTCGGATCAGGCCCTAATGGCAAGGATAGGTTAATGCATTTCATTATCAAATGTTGAAACCACATGTGATATTACACATTAAAGAACAATAATATTAATAGCTGTTTTTCCTGGTTTTATAACTTTTTAACATGCTGTTTATTTTTCTTCCTAGAAATAAAAGTAGCCCACCAAGTCACCCGATCCTATCTTCAATATCAGTTCTTTTTTGCTATCATCTAGGAACAGCTGTAAAAGGGTCATTTTTGATCACTTTACTAAGAATACCAAGGACTATTCTCATGTACATTTATAATACTTTAAGAGAAAAGGTAGGCATGTTTTTTTTGTAAAGCAATCATACAGTAGTTAACTTGTGATGTGTAGGAAGGAAATTTCTTGAACAATTAACTCTATGCAAGAAATAGGAATGTGAGCTTTATTTCATTTGGGTTTCTTATCCATGTGCACTCCACATATACACCTCTCATCTCAGATTTTAAGAACAAATAAGAAAAACAAGTACTTTTAAGTATTAATGTTGAGTGAAGTATTTTAAATCTCGCATCATAATTATTTAAAAAACAAGCAAAACTAACCAAAAATGGCACTATTATTTTAAGCTGAAAATGTCTCCTTACTAAATGATTTCGCCTGCTTTGTGGTGTGAGACACTAGAAAATAGGTGAAATAAAAACGAATGTGTGATTACATAGTATCCAAACCATATAATTTAAGGCACATTAAAATTTAGCTAAACTATTTGTTGCCTGCCATCTAATTACCATACACCTCTGCATTTCCTGGCTTCTGTTGAAAACAGAAGTTCCAAAATAACACAGAATCCTGCTCCATTTCCAGATCAGAAAGTTGGAATAAACATTTGGACCAGAATTTTTCAAATGCCAGTCTCTGAAGTAAAACAAAACTTTGGCCTTAAATCTTTGTTAATTGTAGAGAGATAGTTAGCTCTGCTAGTCTGGAGTCAGGCAAAAGGTAGGGCAGAGTGGCACCTTATGTACTAATTCAGAGATGCATAAGCCTTCATAAGCAGCAGCTCACTTTGTCAGATGTTATTCTGCCTTCTGCTTGGTTATTTGATTCAGTAAAGACTTTTGAAGATTACCTTTTACTAAATACTGTAAAACAGATGAGGGATATTGTTACAGTCTGAGCCAGGTATAGCAGGCTCAGAAAATGAACAGTATGTGGGTGGACAGGTAGTCCTCTGAGACATCTCAACTGCTTTCAGTTCTGCCACAAAATGGGCTAGGTCCTGTCAATTTAGAGGCACTGTAATTTAAGTAAGAATGTAATGAGCCTTAATCAGGTGTGAAACACAGAGCAGGCTGTTCCCACAGGAATTAGCAGACAGGTTTCAGGTGACTTAAGTGGTACCTTTAATATTAAAATCAATGGGATTTGCAAGTGGCTGGCAGGTAGTGTAAATGGTGCTCTGTCTTATCCCTGGGCTCCATAAGTGGCTTCTACTGTACTGCACTGGGAAAAATATAGGTTCTATTTTCCACCTAAGAAGGAAGCTGTATGAATGGTGGTGCATAATTGTGGTTCTTGTAGTCCATGTAAAAGACTCATGTAAATAATGTGTAAAAATAAAAAGGTCATTGATTAATCACAACATGAATGTACATAGAAATTCCATAGTCTGATTCTCTTGTGTTACATATGAAGCAGGTGTGGATGTGGCAACTTCTGGGTGTATTTAGTTTGAGTTACTATTGTTTAGCAAGGTGGATTTCTTTATATACCAATTTGCCAGGTGCAGGAAGGGAACTGTCCATGTAGTGTTCTGACCTTTCAGTATCGAGGGGAGAAGGGATTTGGGCCTCCAACATCTTTAGGATAGTGGTTGGAAACAGCTCCAGGGTGGCCTTACCAAATGTATTTCTGGGTTTAATTTATGTATGAAGACAGTAGCCTAAGCCATAAGGCAACCTCCTCTTTCTGTGCCCCTTTCTGCCCCTCCCCAGCTGAGTAGTATGGGGAAATTTCAACTAACACTATAGTCTCCCCCTATGGGATTTGAGGTAGGAGAGGATTGATTATGATACTTTTACAGTAAAACCATCTCATCAGTGAGACATGGTAAAGTACCATCATCACTCAACTGGGCTTGGGGTATTATTTTCTTAATGGGATATAAAAAAAAATGTAATGTTGGAAAATTTGCAAGGATGTTAAACTCAATAATATATTTTAACTTCCACTGCTTTCATATAGCTCCCTACTATATGTGACCACACGCTCACAATAAGAGCTGCCTCTTATTAAAAACACAACAAAATGTTTCTGATCCCTGAGAGACAGTGGATGAAAACAGAACATCTCACATGAACAACTTGTCTTTAATGCTATCTGGGTACAATGTCTATTTATGATTGGCCTGCTGCAGTGATCCCCAAGATTTAAGACTTCATTGTTATTTTTTCAAGTACTTTGGAGACTTAACTTTGAAGTTTGTTTGTTTTACTTGTTTTATTTATTTATTTATTTATTTATTTATTTATTTGTGTTATAGATCTAATGTGAATCCAGATCCTTGCAAGAATTCAAATAGTTTCCTGACAGGACTAATCTCCTGGAGTAAAAGTCTGCATTTTTCAGTTTTTATAAGAAAACTAAAAAGTGTGTGTGTGTACACACATGCATGTGCATCAGTCTGTCCTTTTTAAGGGTGCCAGTTATTTCAGAATCTTGCAATCACTTGGATAAAATTACAAAGAAAATATGAACGCTTTATTTGTAAATATACCCTCTGCCAGTTGCCGATCAGTGCATGAAGGGTTACTGCCTTGCCTGATTCCTTTGTGCTCCATGCAGCTGTTAGCAAACCAAAGCTGCTCACAGTAGTTATTTTCTTTCCACAGCAGAATCTTCCACCCACAGGGAAAAAAAAGTTCAAATCATCAATCATTAATACTGAGGGGTCTGAATTAAAAACAACTCCCATAAGCAGGAAGGAAATCTCTGCTGTTTAAGTGAATGCCCTGTGAGAACTACAGTATCCTGTTAAGCGAGTTCATTTTAAATGTCAGTTTTATAAAAGTCTAACTCTGTCTCTAGTAACCATTTACTTCATTTTGTTGCAGGAGAGTGTGTGTGCCAGATGCTTGTTCAAGAGCTGTTTCTGTTGCTTTTGGTGCTTGGAAAGGTGCCTAAGATATGTTAACCAGGTACATTGTATCAACTGCATACCTCAAAGTAGAGTTTACATAGCTGAAGCAGTCAATAACTTAATTGTGCCCTATGTCTCAGTCTGTTTTGAATCTTTGCTCCTATTCATGGTATCAAATAGCTCCTACTATAATATCTCCTACTGTATGAAAGCCTTGTGATGCACGGACACTATATCGATGTGTAAAATGACGAAGATATATCACTTGTTTTGTAAGCCTACTTTAGAGCATTAAAACCTCAATTAATTTATTACTGTTTGACTGGAATTAGCTCATCTGCCTGTAAATGTTCTTCTGGACAACTCACAAATACTTGACAGCTAGTTCATACCAGCTCAAACACTCCAGTGTTGACAAACCAAAGATGGGTATAATACAGTGTAGGTAGATAAATTACTTTTCACCATAGGAGCTATTGCTAAAAGAGAAAACTTGACCACTGACATCTTCTGCTTCATTAATAATATATCCTGGAATATAATCCAAAAGAGGGAAGCCACAGAATACAATGTTCCCTTTCTTTGGGAGAGATCTTTATTTTTTTAACAGTTTCTTTTTCAAAGATGTTTTTATTAGAGGTGAGTGATCTCCTACATACAACCATTTTTCAAATACTTGACTCCTACTCTTTCCTTCTTGATTCTTTCCTCTGCATTCTTCCCGACTCCATTTCTATTACTGTCTGTACTACTTATGTTTGCCAATACACTTTCATTTTCTATGGTGGCCCTTCTATCTTTAGCTGTTGGATCAGGGGGGAGTGAATTTGTTCACACTGATCTCCTACCACTGTGTATGGAATTCTGCAGGCCCTAATCTTTCTCAGATTGTCTCTGGTATTTTGTTCTGTCTAATGATGACTTTGGAATTACAGGATACAAGTTATCCTGTATCTTGGTGTCTCTTAAATCAGATTCTAGTCTAGTGGCTGCCTTCCTGTGTATAGCAGCTGCATAAATGAAACTGAACGCTGGAAGGCTAGGAAGTAATTGGCTTTGCCGAGTCTAAGCTAAATTCTTGTTCAACAAAATCATTAGATCTGTGGGATGAACTTTCCGGGCGTACATTCTTGGGTAGATCTTATGGTCACTGACTTGGTTAAGAAACTTGGAGTTAGTTTTGACTCCAAACATTCCATTTACAAAGCATGTTATTGTCACCCTTCACCTTGGCTTCCTGCCCTTCAAAGATATAGCCAGCATAATAGTGTTTGCTTTCTCCAGCTGTTGTTGTATGTTATGAGTTTGTTACGAGAAGAAGTAATTATTGTTTTGTTTTTTGCTGGGTTCTAAAGCTTGTGTTTTATTCCTTGTTCTGTTAAAAGATTTCCTGTTTTTTGCCTGGATCATTGTAGTGAAATACCTATTTTTTAAAAACAGAGTTCTGTTTGTTCACTAAATAACGCAGGGCTGTTTGCTATTAAACAATTGCTTGTTTGGGTATTTATTTGGCAATGATGGCCATGTCTTCAGCTTTGTAAACCTGAGCAGCATAACATCAGGGAGAGGCTTAGAGAACAAAATAATCATGAACTTTATAAGATAACTAATAGAAGTTACATTTATGAAAGAACAAGATCAAGTACAGATTAGTTCTTTATGCAGGATAATTAATTTTTAAAATAATGTATCATATTTTTTAGGATTTTCCCCCTAAAAATATGTGTACATAAACTTGGAAGTTTTTTGGTATATATCTTGTGTAAAAAATAGGAACCACAACTTTACTAGTTGTTTCAAATAGAAGCCTAATTTTAAGCATCTAAATAAGTGGCTTGATTTCTCAGAAGTGCTGAAAATACAGCAGGTTTTGCTAAAAACAGTGGAAGTTGCTTGGTGCTCTGAGCTTTAGAAAACTGGATGACTCTTTCTCTAGTTCTTTAACATATGCTTTAGAGTCAGGTTTTAAATTACATTTTAAGAAACTTAGAAGTTTGGCCTCTTTGTATTTTTCTTATATTTTAAAAGCTTGGTTTGCATGTCTTCAATGAATTTATTTTTAGGGAGTTAAATTGCTAAAATGGTAGAGTGGTTGTTATTGAAATTGTTCCTAAGCTTATTGTGTGGGCTGATAGTGCCCATTATGTGCTTTGCCTTTGCCCCAGTGTCACATTCTCTGGTGATAACAATTCCTCCACAAGTGCATCATTACTTGTGATTTCTAAAAAGAAATGCATTGGGAACACTGATAGGTGGGAAGACATGACATAGAAAGAATTCCCCGTAGCACTCTTGCACGACATTCTTCCCCTGCCTGTCTTGAAGTCATTCATAATATTTAAATCTTCCTCTGCCTTTATTTTGTAAGATAAGCAGAGTTGAACTTGGTCAGGACTTAGATAGGAAACTTGCAGGGAAAGAAGAGGTGCCATTAGAAATAATGTGGTAATCCAGTCACAAACTGATTCCTGTGAGATAGGTGCCCTCAGATGATACTATGAGCACCGATGCTGCTCTGATGTGCTAGATTTCCAGCAGCCTTCTGTGTCTCATGTATCAGTGTCCCCATGCTTAAAAATGGTCATGGGGGCACTTGAACTAAAGCTAATCAAATGAGCTTCAGTTCAAGCATCCTCACCACCATTTTCAAGAGTGGGGAAGCTAATACATGATACGTGATGGCACTTTAATTAGAGCAGGTCTCAGAGCTGCCCTAATTAAAGCACCACTCCCCCCACTCCCGGATCACATGTAAAAGTGCCCTCAGTGTCCCATCGTGTCAGAGGGCACTGTGTAGCTGAATGTGCCATCTTTCAATCGACATATAATTGACATATAAGACTAGAGTCCTGACTGTCATATGACAGAGAGAGAATTAGCCCCGTGTAAACAAGTGGGTATTGTAACTAGACTCCATGGTTCCTCTTAAGCCTGTTCAAGACAGTGTGATTTAAGAATGGATGGATCCATTTTAGCCTCTTATTCTGCTTTTGTTTCTTTTTACCAAAGCCACGAGTTTGTTCATATGCCTTATGTAAAATCCCACAAATATTCCACATAGAACAGAAGCAGCATCCTTTATATGCCAAAAAAATGGTACCAATGGGAATTGTACCAAAGCATGAATGTAACTCACGCTGCATAAACACATTCAGATAACTGGAGAGAATTCTCCCAGATTTGTTTTCCTCATGGAAAAACTTACCCAAAACTGCATGTACAGACATTCAAATGCTAAGGCCCCGAACAGTGGAGAGCTTGCACTGTGCAGCCAGGGCAGGCCCTTATGACCATGTCTCGGCATGCTCTGTAGGCTTCCTTAGTTTGCCTGGCAATAGATCATAGCAATGCGTAGGGCAGCCATGATTGGCTGATCCTGACTGCCCATGGTCAGCCTGTTTTTCTCTGCAGCATAATATGGGGGTTGTGAAAGGGAAGTGTTGTGGAGCAGCAGAGTCCAGCAAGCAATGTATTGTCTCCCTGGGAGGGAAGGGGGAGAAGTTGGAGGGCCATGTTTTCTTCTGAAAGAAGCCCTGGCTTGTACAGACATTTGGTCTTGCAGTAAAAGTCTCCTGGGTGTGATTTAACCCTGGTTATTCCCAAGTTATTTTTCTCCTGAGGTGGCTATTTTTACCCTGGAAAAAAAAAGCCTGAGCATTTGTAGACTTGTGGTTTCTTCTGGGAGAGCAGCATGTTTGCACAAGACCTAAATCAGTGGCTCCCAACCTTTTTTTGCTGCAACCTTAAATCTGGGTCGCACCCCCACCCCCACCCCCACTGCTGACTCACTCATGTCCACCGGCACCAGCAGAGCCTGGGCCAGGCCAGGACTGTGGGGGGCAGTGATGGCGAGAGCCAGGTGGACTGTGTACCAGGAAAGCCCCGCAGGCAGGAGGGGTGAACGAGGGGTGGACACCCCGTGACCCTGATTTGAGTCATGACCCAAGGTTGGGAGCCACTGGCCTAAATAACTTGAGGTGAGAAACCCTTTCCATGTATTTACATGCATACACAACAATTTTAAAATGCCTTCAATAGTGAGAAACTCATAGGGCCTGGACACTTGACACATTGATACCAACTACAACTTCAGACAAAGATTCTGAGCAGACAAATGCAGCTATGCTGGGATTGATCAAGTCAATTGTACATCAGTTATTTCCAACTGTAATTCCAGACTATCTTCAAGTGTTCACCCTCCAGCTCATTTGAAAGACAGCCCCTTAGGGTGAATCACAATCCAAAACACTGAGATACATTTTGTCAGATTTCTTAGAAACTTGCTCAAGAGATGTCTGAAAGACAGCCTGCTGCTAACTAGGTCTCCCCCTTAATTATATCAGTTCTAAGGTGTTAAGACTATTGTTCTGTCATGCTAGATGGGTACAGGTTTTACTGATCTAGCAAGATTTTCCCCAGAAATGGACAGTTGTTGCCCCATCTGGCCACAGGAAGCAGTCTATAACTGTGACCAAACATGAGTGCATGGCTGCAGACAGCTTCAAAAATGGCCGACGGGGTAAAAATCTGAACCTGTGTTACAGCCAGGCTGTTGCTGTTTTCAGAATAGGAGTGGGGAAAGGGAGCAGGGGGAGTTTGGTCTGGGTTTTTTTCAGCCCCTCCTGGAGGGTGAGGCTGCTGTATTTAGCCCTCCCGAGGTGGAGGGGGGGGCTCCAATACCTTACCCTCCAAGTCGGCTGGAGAACCCCCAAAACAAGCGCCCTCTGCTCCCTTTCCCTGCTCCTATTCTGAAACAGGGACAGGCTGGGAGAGAGGAGGAGCTGTTGCTAGGGGAAACCAGCAGCATCCAGCAGCTAGAGTCCCCTTCCCCCCTGAAACCAACAGCGAACTTCTGTTTGTTCCAGAAGATCATTGCAACTTAGAATGCTTCCTGCAAAGTGTTCTCGGTTACAGTGGGGAGCTGTACTTCTGTCTGCACCCACAGTGTCCTGTTCAGATTGCAGTGTTGATAATTCCATTCTGCCTGCCTAAATTCCCCCTTGGTCTTGCAACTGAGTCCTGTGATAAACTGTGGTGTAGTGTTGCTATGTACTATTA